CTGGAAAGTTTGTAGTTCGGTCGGATATGTCAAAAACAAGTAAGTAAAACAACGCACAAGTTACTTAACGAGAGAGAGAGAGAGAGAGAGAGAGGCAGAGAGAGAGAATATGCAAAGTATGTATACACCTTACGAAATGGTTAATTCATTTGCTTTATTTGACAGTCTTCATTGTATATAATAGTATTTCTAATATTAATAATTACAATCTGCTGTTGCTATTTTTATTTTATTTATTTATTTTCTCTTATTATTCATTTTTTTGTCTCCTTTCTTACTTTGATGGTGTAATCATATTCTGCATTGCACACATCTGAAATGCTTTGGCAATACTGTAACAAATGTCATGCCAATAAAGCACCTTGAACTGAGAGAGAGCGAGCGAGCGAGAGATTAAATAATCTCCTTTTTTGGCCTTTCTAGAGATTGAGAGTCAATGGTCACTATAAACATTCTATAAGAGATATATATCTATATATATCTATCTATCTCAAGACAACCTCTTAATCAAAATGTGTATTTTGAAAACATTAACATTAGTGGACATATTTATACATGCAAACACATATTTCAATATGAACTGCCCCATTCCTGAACAGTATACATTAGTAAATCAAAACTTTCAAAAAAGGTCACAATATTTATTGTGCAGCACAACTGCCAACTATTATCCTTCCTGTTATTAGTAACATTCAGTTAGCAATAGCATACAGTGGCCCAATACAAAACAAATTACATGCTGAGGTGATTGTTTAAACATTGATCATCAACATATAACAGACAACCTACTTGCCTCTTCCTACTTGGGTTTAGTCTGAAGGAACAGCTATAACAATCACTCGTTCACACTAGTTTCTCCGAAGAGTTTAATTCATTTTAGATTAGGAATCAGAATGATTAATATGAAATTCATCCAAAGATCTGGGGAATCAATGATTTCCACCATTTATTTTGATATAAATGGTCCAGGAAAACACACTACATTTATACATTAAATTGCTTTCAACAGTAACATACATCATAGCCATGATTGCATTCTTAATATTTTGTCATGTGGTATATGTTCAGAATTTGAGAATAAAATTCCACTCAGTCGATTGGGTTAAAACGCTTTATTAAGCTTGAGACAATCAAAGCATCTACATTAAGTAATTGCAATGGGAGAGTGTCAGTTACTGACATTTGTGTAATGATTTTGGAAGTTTCACAAGGTAGGTTTTATTAATCACAATGTCCACAGATTCACATCACTGCATCAGCTATATGACATAGTGAGTTTCAAGTTGCACCAAGTGGTGTACAAAACCAGAAATATCCTTGTGTTGATGCCTTCAGAATTAGTCTCACTGCATCAGCTATATGACATAATTTGAGTTTCAAGTTGCACCAAGTGGTGTACAAAACCAGAAATATCCTTGTGTTGATGCCTTCAGAATTAGTCAAGTACATTTCCTGTGATAATTTGGAAATGTAAAACTTACAGGTTTACAGCAACAGAATGGGACCTATAGACACATGCTGCAGCGCTTCCTCTGAAAAGCTTGGACTTCTGCGAACTGTAGAATAGTAAGACCAGTCAGAGATGAGAAACTGCACTTTCACCTGATTGAATTGAAATGGTTACCTCGACTTGAGCTGCTACCAATCAGATTCTGAGCCGCCTCACACTGTTTGTAACAACGCCCATCAGCAGTGTTCTTGGCATGACAAATAACGACGTCACAATGAACGAATACCTAAATGTGCAACGTAAATAAACTGTTAAATGCTTATCGGTTCAATCCACAATACACATGAAAAGAACACTGCAGACATAAGACTCTTAAAGAATTTGTATTAATCCAAATTCTGGAAATTTTTAAACTTACCCTTCTGGCCAATGTGGCATTCTCACTTTTAGAACTCTCATCATCCTCTGTGAAAGTAAATGTTTTAACCTCAAATCTTTTGAAGTGATCTGGGATGTCCACTCTCTCATCTGCGACTACAGGATGGATGATGGTCTGTTCAGGATCTTTAGGATTGGCACATCTGGTTGAGATTAAGAATTAGAACCTTCAAGTATAAATGCTCCACAAACACATGCAATGCTTCAAACATACCCATCAACTATTAAATCCCATCTAGGTTTGGATTCTTTGTCCTCGGTGAGTGTCGCCCAACAATTTCCCAGGGCTACTGCTAACCTGGAGTCCCTGGAGTGATTCATACCCACCTCAAAATAGAGAGGCTGTTTCAGAAACTTTAAAACTGGGTAGTCACCATCATGATAGAAGAGTCGGTAAACCATATCTTGGGGACGAAAAAAAAAAAAGATCTCACATTATACCACATATTGCTCAGACTGACTGGCATTTGTCTTAAACTAGTTAGTATCTTGTGAATGATTCATAATTGCGTGTTATTCCAAAAAACAACACTGGACAAAGTAGTAACTTGCATAGCTAAAGCAGTTTACATACCCTTAGAAAGCCTCAGGCTAATAGTGAGTTCACCCTTCCCAACATCTGCGTACGGCTCCTTAAAGTGTGAAACCGTGTCGAAGCTCATGCTTTGGATGCCGTTTGCGATATAAACGCAGGACACCATGAACCTGTTTGAAATGAGCAGTTTCAATAGAAATAGTAACACTTCATTAACATTTCAGGCATTTTTGTACTTCAAACAAGTGCTTAATGTCATTTAAAGTCATTAGTAAGCAACCAAGTTTACACCAATACTTTAATAAAAGGAAACTGCAAAATGGGTTAAACACTGAAGGATTAAAGGTTTAAACTACCTGCTTGTTTCAGTGGGCAAACCTTAGTGATGCATGAAGTGTTAAAAAAAGAAAAGAAAAAAAAATGCCCCTAACCTGTATTCTGGCTCAGGGTTTTCGGAGGTCTGTGACAAAGGTTCATCTTTCTTCCTGGTGACTTCATTCTCGTATATCATGGTATCCCCAACAAACTGAACAAGCAAAACAGTATGTGAATCACCTTCACATATACAATAGTTGCACAAATGTTTGATGCGCATGTCTTCATTGTACCTTCCGTGTGGTTCCACAACTGGTGACATTAAAGTGGAAATAAGCAAAGTAGTCTTCACTGTCGTAGGGTTTGCAGGCCGGGTCTCTTAGAGAGAGTTCACCGGGATGAAGATGTGGTACCGATTCCAGTTTGGGAAATACCACCGTAATCGTTCCATTAGAAAAACACTCTGGCACAACAATAAAAGAAACTCACAATCATAAAATAGCAACAAGACATTATCAGGACAGTGATGCAAAATACAAACCAACCTGACAATTTTACAAAAAAGGGGCAGGCAAGAGAGAACTCTCTGATACTCCAGTTATTCAAGGAATCGTAAATTTCCACGTCAAGTCTTCCCATGATTCCAGCCAACTGAACAGACTTGAAAATTAAAGGTATAAAAACAGTCAATGGAATTAAGATGATGGTAGCCAATTGTCCATAGACATTATTAGAAAACTTCTATTTTTTGTGCTATACAGAGAAAAAAAATGGGTTTGAAACAACTTAAGTTATTTAACTAATTTTGAATAACTAAATAAATACAATTCAACTGTTCTAATATGTGTGGGCATCACTTATGACTGGTAAACTATACTGTAGTAAGCATCACTAATTACTAGTGCAACCCAGGAAATCTGAATAATACCTCAAAAGCCACAACCGGGGACAGGAATGGCACAATAATGTCAAAATGGGTTTCATTTGAATGATGCTGATATTGCTGCAAAATCTTATTATTCAGCTCCATTTGTCCCAGTTTGATCTTTATTTGGGAACTTGGGGTGGTCCCATATTTGACATAAATGTTGAAGTAGTCCTCATAGCAACTTCCTTCTGGTTGTGGAAGGACTGCAGAAAAAGGGATACAAAGTTAAATATCACAACATCTGAGTTATGCACAATTCTGCTCCTAGAGATCTGCCTTCGTGCAGAGTTTACTGCAGCTCCTCCCAGTCAATGGAGCCACAAACACAATGTAAACACTTGAGCTGGAAAAAAAGCCATTGCTGATTGGCTGATGAAACCAGAATAAGGCAATTACCACAATATTATATTTATATACTCCCTGGATCACACAAGCTTGCCAAACCATGACCCCTTGGCACAAAGAGAGATCTCCAGGAGCAGGACTTTGCTCTGCTCTTGTAGCCAACATGCAGAGTTTTCTTAAATGAGTCTAAAAGGTCTTACCAATGTCAGCTAAAGAAGCTTCTAGTACTATGGAGTGTGCAAATGCCGTATGTTCGGGCATGATGACGAAACCAAAGACAAGAGGAAGTGTGTAGGTCGTTACATCAAGGCGAAAATTCTGCATTACAGATAAAACCATTTTAAGACAAGGCAAACCAAACAAGCTGGGATAACAGCTACATAAACAGAAGTTAAAAGCGTACCTTTATTTGGACTTGAGGATCAGAGAAGGGAACCTGGAGAGTAAAGGCTTTGGTGTCGTTGGAAAAGCTTTGCTCATGCAGGACAATGCCTTTATTGATGATCTCCGAGACAGTGAGCAATTCAGAGACAAAGGTGATATTCAGCAGCTCCACATCAGGTAGGAAGTAACCCAGCAATAAATCAAACACCTTCTGCTTGGGCTGAGTGTCTGATCACATAAAAACAATTCTCTTGAAAAATGTACAAGTAAAGAAAGCCTTTCTGTCCTAAATGCAACACTCACAGTCTATAACTTGGAGCGGCCATGGTGTCAAAGGGGTGGTGATGGGGAACAAGACCTTATATGAGGTCTTATCCAGGCCCTCCTTCCACAGTACCTCAAGCATGGGTTCTATGTTGTAACTGACATGGTACTGGTCATTAAGAACATGACTCTGTAATAATAATAAAAAAATAAAAAATAAAAAAATAAAAAAAAAGTGTTAGTCATTATCTTCAAGTTAAATGCAAAACATAGTTGAAAACCCAACCTTGTAGTATCCATCAGCAGCCCCAATGGGAATCTCAACAACGATATGGGAATCTGTGATGGCCATGACATAGTTACGGCTGCCCATCTCTTCAGTTGTGAACCTTCTGCCATTAACGCCCAAGTGCACCTCCTGGATTTCAACTTCCGATGACACCAAAGGGGTTATGCGCAGAGGAACGTGCCAATAAATCATCTGACCCACAACAGAAGCTCCATCTTAAGTCAAATCAGAGCACAATAAGAACATGACTCTGTAATAATAATAAAAATAAAAAAAAATAAATAAATTAAAAAAAAGTGTTAGTCATTATCTTCAAGTTAAATGCAAAACATAGTTGAAAACCCAACCTTGTAGTATCCATCAGCAGCCCCAATGGGAATCTCAACAACGATATGGGAATCTGTGATGGCCATGACATAGTTACGGCTGCCCATCTCTTCAGTTGTGAACCTTCTGCCATTAACGCCCAAGTGCACCTCCTGGATTTCAACTTCCGATGACACCAAAGGGGTTATGCGCAGAGGAACGTGCCAATAAATCATCTGACCCACAACAGAAGCTCCATCTTAAGTCAAATCAGAGCACAATATGAGTTGTGGAACACCCATATGGCAAAATAACCCAAGTGTGTGTGAATGAAGTCTCACTGATTGGACAGGCAGCTGCCGACTCCACAATAGTCATGACCCAGCGGTCTCGGAACAGGACCACTGATTTGAACACCATCATATCAACATTGTCAACCTAACAAGGAAAAATACTTCAGGCACTAGAGAGAAATTAATGCATCATATATGCTAGCACATAAAACCGTTCATACATTTTGAATAAAGGTTTCAGCCATGTCGAATGGGCTTCGCATGACCAGTCGTGTAGGAGAACTGTAAACACTGTAGCCCATCTCTTGTAGGGCGTCTTCATCAAAAGCCTTCTCTTCAGGGGTGTACAGTAGGATTTTCCAAAGTTGCAAGTTAGGTATAACTGTGGGCTGTTAAAGAGGGACAATGTCAGTTTTTCTGTATCAAAGATAACCATGAAGATATCGGTAAAGAAAAAGACCCACTTACCAAAAAAAATAAAAAAAGTGGTACTTGCACATGCAAAACTTGCAAATGCTAGGGTAGTTGCCAGGACATTACTATACGGTTACCAATCTATTTAGTATTGCGAAGTATTTTTAGTGCATTCTTATACAGTTGCTAGTAGGGCTGCACAATAAATCGAAATGGAATCGAGATCGCGATTCGACAGAAGCTGCGATTGTCATGCGTATCTTTCAGTGAAGCACGGTTCTGTGATCAGCAGTAAATCTCCATCCAAAGGCCAGAGGGCGCTCTCGCGCTGAAACTCCAAATACGCCAAGCAGAAAAAACCCAGGAAATGCCTATCGCTGCAGCTGAATAAACAGAAGATTAAACCACTTTTCATTGATTCAACGTGACTAATAAAACACACAACTACGGCAACATATGGTTTATCGGAGTTCTTATTATAATTTTTATTAAAATAAAGTATATTTATAATGCCGATTCATCATGCAGCCCTAGTTGCTAGGGAGTTTTTAGTAGTTGGTAGGCCAAAATAGGATCCCACCCTCTCCTTCAGTCTATAACTGCATTTGGAATCGCATAGTATCTGAGAGGGTACTTTATTTTATAAGGAACTTACTTTGTAACCATAAAAAAAAAAAAAAAAATACAAATCAAAAATATTGGCATTAGTAGTAAACCATCCAGGTATTTCTCACAAACCTTTTCACGAATACCACTACATTGTAAGTATGCAGATTAAGGCCATGTCCACACATACACTGGTATTTTTATAAACAGTTTTTCCTTCCGTTTTTAAAAAAATCTCCGTCCACATGAAAACGCAAACGCATGCTATGAAGCACTGTCAAGAGCATGCCAAACCAACAGGTGGCGATATAATCTCAACCGTAAAGCCATGTTGGCCAATCAGAAGCCTGAAAAAGTTTCCAGTAGGCAGAGATAACAGCGCAGGCTCCGATGTCACAAGCCAAAAAAAAAAAATCTTCACCCTGGCAGGCGTTTTCAAGAATGTTCACTGGTGCTGCGTTTGCATGTGGACGAACGGCCTAACCGCGTAGAAAAAGCTGCGGTTTTAAAAATAACCGCGTTCGTGTGGACAGGGCCTTAGATGCACTGTATGGGATAAAAAATTTAAAAAAAAACTTGTTTTATTATTTGCCAGGTGAAAATCTTCAAGTGTGATTGTTTATAAGAGTAGCAGCACACGCCTCCTTAAAAACACACAATTTTAGATGACATTCATTTAGTATAAATTGTGCGGGACACCAGTAAAAATGCATACCGAAGCACCAATAAAAACTTTTTTTTATACATACCCACTCTTTTACTGGTTCAATCTTGATTTCTGGTAACGCATTCCTTACGGATACCTGACAGAACATAAACAGGCATGCACAGGCAGGTAGCAATATCACACTTCAACTCCATTGGCACATTAGAACTCTAGTCTTGAGTTATTATCCAATTAGATAAGCATTTTCTTTCAAAATGAACAGCCATCAATCCTATAAACTATCCTGCTGCTATTGGCCAAACTTAAACTTTTTTTCTTAGAAAGTTAAAAAAATGACATTCAAAAGTTACTTGCCTCCATGAAGTTCGTCTCACACAAAATCTCTCGTGAAATCATGGTGTGACTGCAGGACTTGAACACTTCATGGACTTTCTCCGATAGCGTGGGGATTTCATACAGTTTAAACTGCATGGCTACTTTAAACTCCTTGTCACCCTATTCAAAACGGTTGGGTATGTGTAATAAGAAATACAAATCCTTTCCCTCCTAAACACCCACATCACATTTTCTAAATTATTTACATGATAAACTATAGCTTCAGAACTAGATATGGTTAAAGGAATGCTTAATTGATAAAGACACAGACCTGGTTCTCTGCAAAACAACTCTGTAGGGAAGCTGACACTATCGTATTTCCCCAAGGATCAGATTTCTGTGTATAGCCACACTGAGCCGCCAGGTGAGGTGTGACAAGGACTGTATGCGTATTATCTGAAACACCCAGAGGAGGTCTGAATTGATTCCTGTGTGTATTTAACTTATTGGCACACAAACAAATGGATAATTAACTTACTGACTGCATACACCTCTAAAGGACTTCCTGCACTCAAAGAACCGGGGAGGATAAACTGTACTCTATTTCCAAGACATTCAGCTTGGATTCCATCTGCAATCAAGAAATGTGTCCATTAAGTAATGAATTACATGACTTGACACAAAATAGTTTAAACCAATAGCATGGCTTACCTTCAGAGGTATCAGCATGAATGCATATTATAGTGACCATTACCCATAAAGCCCTAAAAGAATCATAAATAAATCAACACATGATGATTTCAAACACACACATTTCCATAGCCTAAGACATACCCTATTTCAAAGCATTCCATTATTTGATATCTTTGTTAATGTATATCATGCAGAAACCATCAACCGTGTCTTCTACTCAAAAGCGCGACCTCAGCAACAGGTGATTAATGAACTGTCTCGTGAGCGTTCCGTCTGATTGCACAGTATTGCGCACAGGTGAGGAACACAAACACCTCGTGCAGCTTCCTGCGCTCTATTACGGGACTCTCCGCCCAGCTAGGTGTGTACCTGGATTTGAAGGTTAACGGAAAACTGCGGGCTTTTGGTGCTTATGGCTATCATGCATTATTGATAAAGTGACTGTTTCTTTAGAGTTTTGCGTCAGTGCGGAAAGGTGCAAATGATTTGGAGCCGGGTGGGTAGGTGATATTTACTTGAATTTATGTTCGCTGTAAGTTTTCTCTCTTTTGCCATTTTTTTCTGATGTCTGATTGTAGTTATGACCCATAGAAAACACTGGGGTTAGATGTCACGTTGGCTGTATTTTAAAATGATTTTCAAAGGACTCTAATAACGTTTTTGAGTCATAAATTCTTGGTTTCTCTAGCAGTAATTTAGAGTGTTTCGAACGTCTAGGAGGCATATTAGGACAATTCATGTGAATTCTGTCTTGCAAGCAAAAATCAGTATTATAATATTTTTTCGCTATAGCTTTGGGGTAAATAAATGAACAATAAATCCGCAATTGAATATATTCAGGCAAGAGTAAACTATAATGAACTGTGTTCTCAAGACAAAGTATGTTTTTTTTTTTAATATATAAACATCAGGTTTCAAATAGTTTTACGTGTTGTCATTATTACTCTATTCTTTGCTGTTTCATTAATTGTTTTATATACTGTTTAACTGCTGAAAAGCCACAAAAAGAGTATTTAAAAGCCTTTATGTATTTACCTTTTGTTTCATATTTACAAAAAGGTAACCTATTCTCAAATCAGTGTCAATAAAAAGTGTCTCCCCATGACTTCAAGGTAACCCAGAATATTAAACATAAGCAGTGCACATGTTGTCAAATATGTCTGTCAAATGCAGTGTTGCATTCTTTTTGAATAATGTCAATCTATATAGACCTATAGAATAAATAGGGTCACATGTTTAATCTGTAATTGTAGTAGGCTCAGAAGATATACACTCTGATGTTGTTAAATTTCAGCCTATGTTGTCTGAGAGGATCTGTTTACAGCAGTGACAGTACCCTGTTGAAAAAAAAAACTGCATATGCTGGTTAGGTATGTTTTGAAGCATGGCAGCTGGTTTAAGCTGGGCATGTGCTGGGCCTAAGCAATTAGCACCTGCTCATAACCATTACCTGGATTTGAAGGTTAACGGAAAACTGCGGGCTTTTGGTGCTTATGGCTATCATGCATTATTGATAAAGTGACTGTTTCTTTAGAGTTTTGCGTCAGTGCGGAAAGGTGCAAATGATTTGGAGCCGGGTGGGTAGGTGATATTTACTTGAATTTATGTTCGCTGTAAGTTTTCTCTCTTTTGCCATTTTTTTCTGATGTCTGATTGTAGTTATGACTCATAGAAAACACTGGGGTTAGATGTCACGTTGGCTGTATTTTAAAATGATTTTCAAAGGACTCTAATAACGTTTTTGAGTCATAAATTCTTGGTTTCTCTAGCAGTAATTTAGAGTGTTTCGAACGTCTAGGAGGCATATTAGGACAATTCATGTGAATTCTGTCTTGCAAGCAAAAATCAGTATTATAATATTTTTTCGCTATAGCTTTGGGGTAAATAAATGAACAATAAATCCGCAATTGAATATATTCAGGCAAGAGTAAACTATAATGAGCTGTGTTCTCAAGACAAAGTATGTTTTTTTTTAAAATATATAAACATCAGGTTTCAAATAGTTTTACGTGTTGTCATTATTACTCTATTCTTTGCTGTTTCGTTAATTGTTTTATATACTGTTTAACTGCTGAAAAGCCACAAAAAGAGTATTTAAAAGCCTTTATGTATTTACCTTTTGTTTCATATTTACAAAAAGGTAACCTATTCTCAAATCAGTGTCAATAAAAAGTGTCTCCCCATGACTTCAAGGTAACCCAGAATATTAAACATAAGCAGTGCACATGTTGTCAAATATGTCTGTCAAATGCAGTGTTGCATTCTTTTTGAATAATGTCAATCTATATAGACCTATAGAATAAATAGGGTCACATGTTTAATCTGTAATTGTAGTAGGCTCAGAAGATATACACTCTGATGTTGTTAAGTTTCAGCCTATGTTGTCTGAGAGGATCTGTTTACAGCAGTGACAGTACCCTGTTGAAAAAAAAAACTGCATATGCTGGTTAGGTATGTTTTGAAGCATGGCAGCTGGTTTAAGCTGGGCATGTGCTGGTCCTAAGCAATTAGCACCTGCTCATAACCATCTTAAACCAGCTCATGACCAACTAAGGACCAGCTTAAACCAGATCAAACCAGCTGCCATGCTTCAAAACATACCTAACCAGCATTTTTTTCAACAGGGTACTGTCACTGCTGTAAATATCCTGTTATATATAATTAAAACAATTCTGATATATAATAATCTATACTAATTTATTTCATTTGAAAAGGTTGCTGCTGAATTTTCAAGAATCCATCAATCCAAATGTCATGGCACACAAATGGCACCATTACCTGAAGATGACCCTTTTATTCATTACACACAATTTTTAACACGTTTGCAAGCTTAAAATAAAAGACCACCAAATTGAAATGCATTGTTTCTTTAATGTCAAATGTAATGTTAGCTTATTGGCAACTTTTTATCAACATCAACACTATATGTAGAAATGTATATTATAATATTTGTGTGGTTTTTCCAACACAATCTCATGGCAATTCACAACATTTTGGCAAATTGGTGGAATTTGTATATGAATTTGTATCTCATTCGTATGTATTTGTATGATGTGCTTATGCTTCACTGTTATGTTTAAGGATTGAGGTTTGGGGTGCACCTTCATGCTTACATTTCTTTTGTTTTCACACTGTTTACATCGTATGAAATTGCCATTGCATATAATAGTTGTTTTCCTATGAGATTGGGTTGGTTTCCATTATTTGTAATTATTTTTTAAAATGTAAACTTCTATTTTAAACTTTAAGGCACTGGTATTTTAAATGGTCCTGTGATGTGACATATACATTTTAAAGTACCATTTATTTCAATTAATATGATAAAAAAAAAAAAAAAAAAAAAAAAAAAGATATTCAGAAACCAGTTAAAAAAAAGAGTATAGCTTGTCATACTGCAGGACTATGATTAAACAAAATTCATTCAAATTTATTTCATTAATTTCATAGATTAAGTAATTTTCAGTGTTGCTGATGTAGCTAACATTCGCATTTCTGTTGTTTTAGTAGAAAATGCAAGTATATCATTGGCAAGACTTCCAGATTCAATGAATCCGTACCACCATGATGTATGGCCAAGTTCTCCACCATCAAGGCAGGGAGGAAGATCTTGTTAACCTCAACGTTGGAGGCATCCAGCACAAGGTGGAGCGCTGCGTTCTGCTCCGGTTCCCCAACACACGTGTGGGTCAGTTAATCCAGTGCTGCAGCGATGCCGCCATCTTGGAACTATGTGATGACTACAGCCCTGCTGAGCAGGAATACTACTTCGACAGAAGCCCGCAAGTCTTCCACTGTGTTCTGAACTTCTACCGTACAGGACACTTTCATGCTCTGGAGGAGCTGTGTGTGTTTTGCTTCAGTCAGGAGATCGAATACTGGGGCATTGGTGAACTGGATCTGGAGGCCTGCTGTCTCGATTGGTTCCTTGAGCGCAAACATGACCGGGAGCAAAACGCGTGTGGCAGGTCTAGTAATGCCACGTCGTCTGGAGAGATCTCCGTTGTGGGGAGTGACCTGTGGAGGTTTGAGGGCACGTGGTGTTCAGATGTTCGCAAGTTCATGTGGCAAACTCTTGAAGATCCCAATCACTCCAAGTGTTCCAAAGGTGTAGCTGTGCTTTCAGTCCTGGTCATTTTGACCTCCATTGTGGCCATGTGTATTCACAGTATGCCTGAATTCAGGTATGCAACTGACAGTGAACATTCTGTTCTGGACTCTCTGGAGCTCATCTGTAACATTTTCTTCTCAGTGGAATTTGTTCTGCGAGTTGTAGCAGCACCTCGCCCATGGACGTTTTTGGGAAACCCTCTGAACATGATTGACATGGCTTCTGTCTTGCCTTTCTATGTGACGCTGGCCTTTGAAAGTTTGGACGAAGGGGATGGGGAGGAAAACCAAAGTCTGGTCAACATGGGGAAGGTGGTTCAGGTTCTCCGGTTAATGAGAGCCTTCAGGGTCCTAAAGCTTGCTCGACATTCAGAAGGGGTGAGAGCTTTTGGAGAAACTCTAAAGAATTGCCAATCCGAGGTGGGTTTGCTCATTCTTTTCATTACTGTTGGAATATCGTTCTTCTCGACTTTTATCTACTACACTGAAAAGGAAGACGCTTCGTCCAAACTCTCTTCTATTCCTGTTTGTTGGTGGTGGGCCATTATTTCAATGACTACGGTGGGCTATGGGGATGTATATCCACAGACAGCAGCTGGGAGGATTGTAGCTACACTTTGCATTCTCTGTGGGTTGCTTGTGGTTTCTTTACCCATCACCATCATCATGAACAACTTTTCTAAGTACTTTGAGAAAAATACAGCTAAGAGGCGCCTTTCAGTAGCTAAAACATAGGAAAATGTCAACCATTTCCCTGTGGTTTAAAATGTTGTCCTTTTGACATACTTTGCATTGATAAAAAAATAAAGCCATCCAACTTCTTGGTGTTTAATACTTCATCATTTTTTTTTTTAAACAACAATGTCTGATGTTTGGAAGAAGTAAATGAAGAATATCAACCAACATTTCATAGTCAAGTCAAATTGCATATTTAGAACAAATGAAAACGAGCAGCACAAAATTCTTTCTTTTCTTCAAAAAAAGTTTAATAGTAGTTCTATGTACAACAAATGCTCATACTTAATATTTAATTATTCAAAGAGGCAGATTGATCAAATCTGAAATTAGGCAAAATACTGAAGCAAAACTAAAGCAGAGAAGGACCAAACCCTTCATAAAATCCTAAT